TATGGCTTCGGCCATACCAGAGCCGGAGAAGTCTTCAGGATCAGGGATTCTTAGACCTCCCCTCAATCCAAAAGGATCAACCGCAGCAAGGGAGGAGAAAACTCAAGATTGGATCAATGTCATTTCTCGTAAAAATAAATTTCGGAATTTCCCAAATTCTAATTCTAGATTTAAAGGAAATCTCCGTAATGATATAATTGAGATGAATAAGGATTCTGGTCGTTTTCAACAAGCAGTGGCAAAAGATTTAGGTAACAAATCTACTCGTCAGGATGCAGGTAATTGGAAGTTCAAATCTGTTGGATCAACATCATGGAAGGATATTTGCTCTATGGGTCGTGAGGTAAATCAAAATTGTTCTCTTCAATACTTCCCTCCTTCTGTTGACAGTAATGGTATTCAATATGCTTCTATTCCGAGATCTGAGATTCTTCTCAATGTCGACAAATGGAACAACACTTTGATTGGTTATGTTCTTGGGGACAAACCGTTCTATTCTCATTTAAAAGGTTGTGTTGCTCGTTTATGGAAACTGTCATGTTCTCTTGATATATATTCTCGTGAAAATGGTTTCTTTTTCTTCAAATTTGGCAGCAATGAAGAACTAAACAGAGTTCTTAACGGGGGGCCTTGGTTATTTGATGGCAGACTAATAATCTTAAAAAAATGGTCTGAGAACATTGATTTAGAGAGAGAGCTTCTTACCTCGGTTCCTGTTTGGATTAGACTACCTTCGTTACATCTCAAACTTTGGTCAAATAATATTATTGGACGAATTGCTAGTCTTGTTGGTAATCCTCTTTATATTGATCAAGCTACAGCTACGGGTGAAAGATTAGCCTTCGCTAGATGCTTTGTGGAAATCTCTTCTAAAGCAAAGCTTCCAACAACTGTTAAGTTAGATTTGGGAAATGGAGAATGGTTAGAAACTTCTGTGGAGTATGAATGGATCCCCCCAAGATGCAGCAAATGCCATAATTTTGGACATGTCGAGTATCAATGTCCGGTTGTGCTAGTTGATAAATGGATTCCTAAATCAACAAATAATGGAGCTGATAACATAGACTCGGGGTCTACTGCTGCACTAGTCAACTTATATGACAAGGAACACGAAGAGTCTGATATTAATGATTCTCAGTCAAGTAAATCTGTTTTTATTGGAGATATAATTAATGATAATCATGTACATGAGGTTGTTTCTATAAATGCTGATGCTGGAAAGTTAATAAATGAGGATGCTACTATTACTGAAGTTAATTATGAAGATACTACTATTAATGATGTTATAACAGAATCTGAGTTTCTCATGCAGCATGATTTAAGAAACCAAGGTATTGCAGTACATGATATCAATGGAAGTCAAATTGCTAAGGAACTAGCTATGCAAGGAAATTACAAAGATATATCAGATTCTAAGATTGAGAAGTCTCAGACTAAGAAGGATGATGTTGCTAATACAGGTATCTCTGAAAAATTAAATGCTGGTGTTACTCCAGTTTTTTCTGTTACTGTCTCTACAAGTAGTCATTCTGATCAGGCCGAGAAAAATATAGCATTTATTAATACTAAGCAAACTGATGGTGGAAAGTTTAATGAATCAGTTATAGATTTCCCTATTGCCATTGATAATCCAGAATGGTTAAATGAAAAAAGCCAGCTGCTTATGAAGAAGAAATCTCAGTTCAAAATCAATAAAGATACTTCTTCAGGCCCAAAGAGGGTTACCAGGGCTTCTTCAGCTAATATCTCTTGACCATGTTGTTTTGGAATGTTAGAGGCAT